CCTACGAAGGTTCCAGAGGTCAAACCAAGTCCAGTGTTAGAACACAGGCGTTGCAATCAGTTGTAGGTTAGGCATAGTTGACTGGGAGAGGCCTGGGAAGCAAAGCAAGGGCTTCCTGGCTATTCTCGCTGCCTCGTGTGGAGACATCCACGGGTTGTGTGCAGTGTGTGAGGCTCTTTCTTCCTATTTCAGCTGTGGCACGGTCATCACCATTAGAGGCTCCCCAGCCCCGCAGGCCACAATGCCCGCCTCATTCTGTCTGGAGCCCTGCCTTGCCGATGACCTCCCTGTTAGCCATTTCTCTGTGGCCAGCTTCTCCCTGACACGCAAGACACTTATGGGCAGCCAAGCGTCAAGTACTAATACTTGGGGTGTGCAATGTCGACCCTGGTCCAAGTCAAACAGGATTATGAGAATCAATGAGCTCTTTAAACAACACCACACAACACCAGCAAAACTCACACCATCTCCCGGCACGTGCTGCATTTTAAAATCCCACTTGGAGATGCCAGTTGTTCAGGGTAGTCTGTGTCATTTCTCCTCCCGTCGGCCGCAGATAATCGAAAGCTTAACGGCTTCACTGGCAGAGTTACCTCGACACAACAGTCATCGGTTCTGCCCAAATTGGCAAGTTTCTGTTCCTCTTCCCTTCTCTCTAATTTCAGAACAGAATGTCTGTTTCCACCTTGACAAACAGTTTGTCTCCTTAGACCACAGCAGAAATACTCTACAGCCTGGGAACCCATAGGGGGCAATTCTACTCGCTCCTGTGATTAGACCTGCTATTACCATTGATCCAATACTAAGATCACTGCAAGAGTAGTTCAAACTCTCGACTCGAGATCTAGCCAAGTTGCTATGTGAATGGGCAGCTTACTTCCCTGTTTCTGGACCTTGGTTTCCTTAGTTGTACAATGACCTGTAAGGTCTCCTGTGGCCATCAAGTTCCACCGTGACTTCCATGAAGATGTCTGAGGTTTTCATCTCTTCATTAAGTAATAATTATATTATTAATTGATAGCTTTCACACACTGCTGACAAAATCCTGGGGACAGGGCTGGGTTCCTGTGGCAGTTACATAATTTCATGTCAACTTGATAAATAGAGAGAAGGGGTGGAATCTAGCCTGTCAATCAGATCATAGCCTGGTGATCCTTCCTCGTGGGAGTGGCCTTCTCATGAGGATTCTGGGACTTCCTTGGTTCCTCCCCGGAGCCAGGACCCACATTGTCTCTCTACTTCATATTCCTATTGACAAGCCACATGGAACTATGCTGATGGCAGCCAGAGCCCTGGAGCTGGAGGACCCATGTGGAGACCCACACTGCTATTGGTTCCCCAAGACTTTCCACCCACTGGCCTGTGATCTTCCTGCATTGGGATGCATTGTATGAGTTGCGTGAGTCTGAAGAGGATCTTATCGCCTGGTATTGAATATACGGGCTAATATCAGACTTATGGACTTGATCTGGACTGAGCTGGGACGTTTTCTCAATATACGATTGCTCTTTTATATAAAGCTCTTTCTTATATACATATGAGTGTCTTTCTTATATACATATGAATTTGTTTCTCTAGTCTACCCGGACTAACACACCCTATGTGACCTTTCTGGTCTGCCATATTTCACTTAGCTTCACGTCTTCAAGGCGCATTCATGTAGTAGCAGGGAACAGTACTCCATCCATTTTCAGAGCTGATTAATAGTCCATTGCATGACCACATTTAAAAAATACATTCATCTCTTGATGGACATTTGAGCGATTTATACCTTTTGGCCATTGTGAATAATGCCGCTAAGAACATTTCAGTACCCATTCTCTCTTAAACATGCTCTGTTCGGGCTGCTCTCCCCCACCATGCCAGACCACCTGCTCTTCTTGAGGTTAACCCTGTTCTCTGCAGGACCAACTCCAATGCTCAGTGCTTATCTCACTTGACTCTCAGGAGGGTCTGACATAGCTGATCACTCCTTCGTCCTCAGTTCATCGGTTTTTGTTTCTGTTTGTTTGGGTTTTTTTTACTGTGCTTCTCCTAGCATTCCTCCTGCTTCACTGGCTGTGTCTTTTCGGCCTTCTTCCCCGATTCATCTTCATATCCTCAACTCTCAAAGTTGGCGAGCTGGAGAGTCAGTTCCCAGACATCCTTTCTTTCTGTCTATGCTCCTCTGGAGATCGCATCCTGTCTCCTGGCCTCAAATAACATCGAAAGACTTGTGGATGCCAAATTCCTCTCTCCAGCCTCTTTCAACTCCAGATGCATCGAATATTGTGCCTACACAATATATTCATGAGCTCAACTGTTCCATGCAAAACTGAACTCTTCGTGCTCTACCCATAACCCTCCAGTATGATGTAATCATTGCCCAGTCTTCTCCATCATGGTAAATTGGAAACTTCATCATCCAGTTGCTCAGGCCCTGAATTCTGGAGTTATCTCTGAGGCCTGTAAGTCTCCATAGCTCTGCTATTAAAATGTATTCAGAATTGGATCACTTCTCACCACTCTACTCTCTGGTCCAAGCCACCTTTTTACCTGGATTATTGCAATAGTCCTTCCCCACCAGATCTCAGTCTCCCTGCTTCCACTCTAAATCAGTTTTCAATACAGCTGTCGGAGCAATTCTTAAAAAAGGCAAGTCTGATCAGGTAACTCTTTCATGCGGAACTCTCCAGTGGCTCTGTGTCTTCCTTAAAGCCAAAGTCTTTACAATGGTCAAAACGGTCCTCTAAGAAGCAGCCGTTGCTACCTCACGGAATTCATCTCGCCCCTACTGTCTTCACGCCATTCACAATGGCTGCTTTACTGTGTCTGGAACACGCTAGGCTTATTTCCACTGCAAGGCTTTTGTCATTGCTACTTCTTGGGCCTGGAATATTTTTCCTCAGATAATCACGTGCTTTACTCCCTCTCATTGCCTACATGTCTTTGCTCAAATGTTACCTTATCAATGAGACATTCGCTGACCACCCAAACGGAAAGAGTAATCCCTCTGCTTCCTACTCTTGATCCCCTTCCCAGGCTTTATTCTTCAGCATCAAACTTATCACCATCTGAAATTCTATGCATTTTACTTGCCTACCTCCAAGAGAATGTAAAGTCCATAAAGACACCTAGCAGGTATTCAGTAATTCTTTGTAGCATACATGAATGCGTGTTTGAATTGGTTATTTTGAAAACTAGTTAATACTTCAGCCATTTCTTGTTGCTTGACCAAATTAATCTTTTAAGATAAATCATTGTTTATCTAATTTCAGCTACTGTGGGCTATGGCCTGATTTTGTAAAGGATATAAAATATTCTCAACAGAAACTTTATCTTTCCAAACAAAGCAAAGCAAAACAAAAACCCAGAAACTTTATCTTTCCAAAGGGTAGTGGATGTTGGTTATCTGAATCAAGAGGAAGTTACTCATTCAGTGCCTCTGTTTCTTCATCTTTAAAATGGGCACACGAGGAGCACTTATGAGTTCTTAGTGGTGTAAACAGTTCAGTGCTCGACTACTAGTGAAATGATTGATGGTGCACATTCACTCAGAGGCACCTCATAAGAAAGGCCTGGCACTCTGTTTCCAAAAGGTCACAGCCTTGAAAAGTCTATGGGGCAGTTTTCCTCTGTCCACGCCAGGCCATCCTGAGTCAAGATTGACTTGACAACCATCCATCAACAGTCAACACCACCAGGAGTATTTAGCCCATGTTGTTGTTATTGGGATCAAATGAAAGGCGATAAAGCCCCTTGGCTTCGGAACCGGCACACAGCAACCTTCAGTGAAAAGTAGCTTTTATTACTCTTATTAGATGCATGAGGAATTTCCCCCAACTAGAGGAAGACTTGAAACAGAAATAGCCGACTACCTTTTTCTAAGTGAAACCGAAATAGCCATCCAGCTCTTTTGTCTTAAGTGACAGTTCTTTGGGAAAGGACCCAAACTTTGGTGGCCAATTGTGTTTGCCCCTTTCCTCAGGAGGCGCTCGCGGGAGTAGGTGTCTTGTCTTCATATTCTCTACATCCTCACAGAAGAGTCAGCCTGGAACCCATCACACTCAAAGCGTCACTTCTCACAATCTCCGGTTTTAGAGACTTTCCAGACACGGAGTACAGATTGCATGGTTTAGCCTCATCCGCTAAATTGGTGACAAATTCAGTTAATACCCTTTGGGGAGGGCGGGCGGGGGGAAGGCTTCTCAAGTGCCGGCAGGAGACTAACTTTCTAAAATAGGTTGATTTGAAAACAAGGCTGTCTGTGCTTTAAAAGGCCAGGCCAATAATCTCTGTTTTCATTCAATGGACCTCCTGGTAGCTGGCTGTCACACACGCCTTGTAGCGCTTCTCCTTGGGTTAATTCGAAGTGTTGCAAAGCTAACACAGAGGCAGTCTGTAAACGCCAGGCTGTCCCAGCTTCTCTGACATGCGAGGGAAACCCACAGCAATACCTGAACAGGCTGCCTCTCTCACCCAGCCTCTGCCGCATGGGATTGGACCCCTCTTTGCCAGGGTCCCCTTGTTAGGTTCTAACTTCTCTCCCACCTTCCACGGCAACTTCAGCTGAACTGGGCTGGGCACACATGTATTTATTCATTCATTAGCCACCATGGGGGTGCAATACATGCTTGTTAAATCACACTGTGCCTTTGCTGCCGTAGAACTAGCCCCAAGTTTCATTGTTGAAATGAAAGTTTGCCTTCGCTGCCAACCTCAAGCTGTACATTTCTTGAGCACACTGACTTCTCCCTCAAGCAGCGCTGCACTTGATTCAGTCTCTGTTTTGATCATTGGGCTTGGCAACATGGCTCTCTAGAAATGGGTCCGCACCCTCGGAGCTAGAGAAAATTTTCTCCTTGACTTTTCATTGTGAGTATTGAAATAGCATGCAACACCCGACAATTGCTAAGCTGTCTTTCCCAATGTAATATACTCTTTAAGATTAAAAAACAAATCAAAACAACGCCAGCAAAACAACAGCCTAATAAGGCCTCTGTGGAGAATTTGGAACTTACTCATAAACGGTCGTCCATCCGTTTTCATTGCTCTTGGTAGCCAGAAGCCCGGTGTTGCCTGGATAGGTCATTAAGGCCAGGTTGTAGCCTTGGGCTGACACTCTTTTCAGAACGCCATTGCTGCTTATAGTCAGCCAGTACACCTGCCCGCCGGGCACCACAAGCCAGAGGGGCATCCCCCCTGCATCTCGGCGAATGTGTACTGAATTGCCGTTGCTACTGGTGATGGCACCCAAGTCACCTTCGGCATTGTAGGTGAAGTTGTACACGTAGTCCCGGGTGATCAGGTTCAGGGTGTGCAGGTGGGTTCCGTTGACTGTGAACTGGTAAAGCTCCTGGTCGGCTGGGGAGGCAATCTCATAAAGGTTCATGTCATTCAAATGGGCTTGGTTCCTGCTGATGGTACGAATCCTGACATTCCCAAGGTCTGCTACGTAGAGGGTGCCGTCGGGCGACACTGCTAAGGAGGAAGGGGCTTTCATCTTGGCATCTTTGGCATAGCCGCCGTCACCTGTAGGAGCAAGATCCTGAGTTGAATAATTGGCATCACAATATGTCTCCAAAAATACCATCTATGGAAACCACTGTGCTCCCAGAGTGATCTGAAAGGGAACACTCACTGAGCTGGCATTCTCTGCATGCCTCCCTTGACAAACTTGAAACCCATTATTCAAAAGATTATAATTCTTAAGTCAGTACTACTGAAGATGAACAGTAGGATGCAATGATCTCAGTTATACCAATTTTGTGAAATCTTCAATCCTCTATTCAGAATCTATTGTATTGCAAAATACAAGAATAGCAAATAATTACAGCCACCCACAATTTGGCTACAATCGATGAAACAGATGATAGGCATTGCTTATGGAATCTGGCCCAGGACTTTCCAGCCCTACTGTGCATAAAAGTCTTTCCTTCTGTTAATTCCCAGTGTCACACTGTCACGGGACACTCCGTCTGCAGTTGCAGCATAATTCAATACATCAAATCTGATAACTGGAATCAACATTAGATCTGTCTGGAAAGAAAGATGTAAATCAGCACAACAGAAAGTCCAGGAAAACACTGGAAACATTGATTGAAAAGCCCTATTGATGAACTTGCTCACCCTGGATTCCTCTGGCCCAAGGAGTGGCAAAGGTTATGAGGACCATTTAGGCTGGGAGGAGCAGTTTAATGGAGCTGCATGGAGCCGGGAGGGACTTCCAAGTCCTCGTCACACATTTATTTGCTGACCTGCAGAGGGTTTTTCGCTCTCTGGAATACCCACTCCATGTTCTGGGGGAAAGGCACTTTTTGTTGGCTTGCGTGTTTCCCAGAGAAGTAAAGGACACTATTGGTTTTCAAGAAAGTTTTGGATCTTTCTTCTCTCTCTCTCTCTCTGTCTCTGTCTCTCCCTCCCTCCCTCTTTCTTTCTTTCTTTCTTTCTTTCTTTCTTTCTTTCTTTCTTTCGTGTAATCCATGTAAGTGACACACAATGCACAATGCACCAGCCCCTTCAAAAACCCCCAAATCACTGGCATCAACTAATAGTGACCCTGCAGGACAAAGTCGAACTGCCCCTATGGGTTTCCCAGACTGTAACTCTCCCAATTAGCAGCTCAACAATTCAGCAGCCCAGTGTGTAACCCATGATGCCACCAAGGCTCTTAGGTCATCTCTGTTTTTCCCCCCTTACCTAAACGAGTGCATGTGGCGCTTCACCTGGTTTCCCTTCCTCCAAGGTACAAACAAGACCATGCCCTTACATTAGTATATTTATTGGCCCTAACTTTCTAGAGCGTTACGCATTTTACTATATTATTTAGCCTCTAAACAGCAAAGTCACATGACCAAGACCTATTTAAGAAATGAAGTAGATGAGTCATGGAGATGTTTGGTGGCTTTGCAAGGGTCACTCAGGGAGTCACTGGCAGCACGACAACCAGATATGAGGTTACCTTCCTTCCAATCCATTGCTTTCTCTACCACTCATACCAATCATCACAGGAAACATCTTTTTCTTCCTCGTGACTTTTCCAATTCACACTTTCCTTTGGAAAGCAGAAAGGGGGAGCTGGGGAATTGCTGCAAAGGTCATACCTGAAAAACAGTCACAGTTGGGATCAATTTTGCAGTCACAGTCAGTGGGGGCGCCAGCGATGATGGAGATCTCCCCATTGGTGGTGACTTGCTGAATGCGGTTTACTTTCCTCTCGTCGGTTTCAGCTATGAAGAGCAGCCCGCTGTGGGAGACGCTGATAGCCCTCGCCGACTCCAGAGTGGAGTGAATTGCCACCTTGCTGACCAAGAAATGATCGATGCCTGGCACCTGGCAGTGAATGGGGCGCCCCGCAATGATCCGCACGCGCCTGTTCTCAGAAATTTGCAGCACAATGTTGTTATCCAAGACATACAGTGAATTGTCCATGGGATTGACTGCAAGATCTGTTGGCCACTCTAATCGCACCTGCAAAAAAAAAAAAAAAAAAAAAAAGCCAAACACACACTCGATGAAGTTACTGTATATTTCCAAGGACAGTTTTAGCTGGAAAGGCTCATCAGCGTATTGCTGACTGCCTGGCTCATGAATTTCAGCTAAGTTGGTGCGGCTTGAGGAGTGGTAAATCAAATATTCTGACGAACAGGCTGATCATTTGTGCAATTCCCAATACAATGCACCTATATCATTTTCAGTAGTTCCAGGCAAGACCTTCCAGCACAATGGTTTTCCCAGGGTGCTCTTGGCAGCAGGAACCGCAGCCATCACATCGCCTAGGAATTTGTTAGAAACACCAGTTCTCCGGCCAATCTCCGCCCCATTTCATGAGAAACTCTGAGGTCAGGACCCGGCCATCTAGGTTTCAGTAGCTAGCCAGGGGATTCTGAGGTAGGCCAAAGTTTGCAGATCGCTACTGTGGGGGTGCTGGGTTCTCTTTGATATGCAAAGTCATATCTCCCCCTGACCTAAACACGCATGGAAGGGCAGGATCCTTGCAGTGGCTGGACCACTGAGGGCTGAAGAACCTCAATTGTATCCAATCAGAACCTGTCATCACCAAAGACCTGGCGTCCATCTTGTAGAATTCTCAGGCATGGTTCTGCAGCTGTTGATGTCAAATCCCCAGTCAGAATACACCGCAGGCCTAGCTAGACCTGGGTCACTCTCTATTCCCCTTTCCTCAGCAAAGAAGCAGGTTTATTTTCTCTCTCTCTCGTCTTTTTCCGCCCTTTGCTCAGCATGTTCTTTGGGTTTGGGGAAATCAAATGATGGTTAAGACACAGTTGTTGCCCTTAAGTAAGTGATGCATATAGAGCCCAGACAAAGTCATGGTTGCCAAGTCAATTCCTACTTGGAGCGACTCTACCAAGGGTTTTAGATAGTCTTCTTGGTCTCCCGAGAGTGGCTGCTGGGTTTGAACCACTGACCTTGAGATTCACAGTCTGATACTTTCCCAACAGTGCTGCCAGTGCTCTCTAAGTGCCTAGTTTAGAACCCTTGGCAGAGTCACCCTAACTCTCTGTGTGATGAGGAAAGGCAGCACATGGGGTATGAGAGGAGCTCCCTCAGTCAAGGTATTCCCATAGAAGGTGGTATTTAAACAGGGCAGGGAGTCACCAGTAAGCTTCGTTGGGGATGAGAAGGAAGTGGAGTTGAGGGCAATCCAAGTAGAGAAAAAGAGCATAGGTCAAGACCCAGAGGTTAGAGAAATCATGGCCCATTCAGGCCACTGCTAGCAATTCAGTAAGGCAAATATAGGCAGACCCAGAAGGTGGCCAGTGGTTGGATAATAGAACGATTCAGTTTTATTCTGATGGGTATGGGAAACTATTAAAGGGCGTTAGGTAGATTGGGGTAGATGCTCGATGTGATCAAACTGGCTGCTGTCGAGCTAATATTGAAGGAAAATGCGAGGCAGACTCCTGTGGCGGTGTAGATGAGAAACGATTGTGGCCTTACCTAGCAATGGTAGTCGTGGGGGTGAAGGGAAGTGGCTGGACCTGCAGCAGGTTAAGAAGTTAGAAGGAAAACGATGAGGCTGTGTGTATGGCTGGGGTGCCTTGTGCTGGGGACTGTGCTAGGCACTAGGAACCCTGAGACATACCACACACGGCTCCCCTCTAGTTCCTTTCTGACCCGAAGAGCTGGCCCCAAGGACTACCCTGACTTCTCCTTGATAACCACCTTCCCCCTGCCCCCACTCCCCCACCTGCCAAACAACAACATGGAATACAGTGGAGCCCTGGAGGGGCTGTTTGGAAGGTTGGCAAGGTAGGTGGTTCAAACGCACAGGAAAGATGAAGCTGCCTGCTCCCGCACAGGTTTACAAAGTCTCAGACACCCGAGGCCCCAACTTCTCCTCGACAGCTACTCTTTATTTCTGTGCACTTCTCAAACTGTGCTCCATCCCACTTGTTCTGTCCTTTCTTTCTCACCCCCGAGGCTAGGCAAAGGCAGGGAAATCTGTCCCATGCCGGCCCAAATCATAATGGTACCGTTGACACCTTTGGCTTTGATGGAAAGCCCAAGGAAAGCACTGTTTTCCTTACAAACTTGAAAGGGGAAAACCATCTTAAGGTCTGAAAAATGCAGTCTGGGCTGCCGTCACACTCTGAGGCCCACCGTTTCCCCAGCTGGATAAAAGGCAGGCTGAAATAAGGGTCCCCCTCTAATCCAGGTGCTTAGGGGAGGCAACTGGTGCTGCTGTACAGGAGACAGAGACTGGCTTTGGCCTCCCTTCCTGTATGGCTTGGGGAGGTGGGGGGGCTTTGTCCCCTGCCCATAAGCAACTCTCTCGGATGCCCAGCAACCTCATTCTGTGCCCTTGCCCCTCCCCCTCCACCTCGGTGGACCCTCTCTGTATCATCTGCTTCTGGACAGTGAAGAATTCAAGTGCTAATGGGGTATAAAGCTGAGCTTGTGTTCTGCATGCATGTTCCACAGAGCCTTGCAGTCTGAGGCCGTTGGATAAACATTAAACACCAGCCTGAACAGTTCCCAGCACAGTGTGCGGTGACGTGTCCTCGGCACATCTGTCTGAGGCCTTTGCATGTCAGTACCCCCGCTACCGAGAGGGAGTGTGTGTGCCTGCTGCTGTGGAGGGGGGTCAACCCCTTCCCGGCTTGCCCCCACCCTACCGGACCTCTAGACACACTGGCATGCTTGTACAGAAGCTGTCTGTATGCAGGGTCCCGTGTAGCATGGTCCCCCCGGAAATAAACCCAGGCGAGCTGAAGAAGAGGAAATGAATTCACTTCAGTACAACACTCCTATTTTGATCAAGTCTGAAGGCAGTGACCCAGAAACAAACCCAAACCCAAACAACACGCAAAAAAAGCCAAAACAAAAAACCCAACCCAACAACCAACACACTAGGCGAAATGACGTGTTAATTAGCCCCTCTCCGAGCACTGAGGCCAGGCCTGAGGCTGGGGGGCAGCATACACCTGGGCAGAATTCAGGGACCGGCACATTTGTGGTTTTTGTTTTTGTTTTAGTTTGTTCCCGGTTGTCGAGGCTGCCCCCGAGGCAGAGGCTGGGAGTTGGAAGAAAAGCTGTTAAATTCTCCAACACACCCAACCTGACTTACACCAATACGACTCGTGTCATGTTTATTAGATTTAATATGGCCTCAAAAACACACCGGCTATTGTGTCTGTTTGTTTTACTCTGTTTGGAGCTTTGTTTGGGTTTTCGTTTTTCCCCATCAAATAAGTCACCCTCTGGCAGTTTCTTGTGACTAAAGTGGCCTTTGTGCTTCTGAGACACTTTCGATACCAACTACTCAGAATCCCTTTAATTCCCATGTGATTTAGCTGGGCAGCCTGGTCTCTGAAATCTCCTCAGATGAAAGACGTGCGGCTACTTAGTACGCCCAGGCTTGACTTTCCAGCAGCTGGCCCTCTCGTCAGCCTCTTTGATGCTCACGAGTCTCACTTCCAGGCGCATCACACCCACACCAGAAACTCTGCAGCCACTAGCAAAGCATTTCCAGAACGCATAGCCGCACACACAGAATGGCAGTCAGCCTTCGCATCTCTGAGATACACAGAGACCCCCCAGATGATATGCTACCACCGAGGTAGGGCTCGTGTTAACCCTCTTGGGCTGTTAGCCATTGATCCAAGTGCTTTCTTTTTTTTTAACATTTTATTAGGGGCTCATACAACTGTTATCCCAATCCATACACACATCAATTGTGTAAAGCGCATTTGTACATCGTTTCTCAAAACATTTTCTCTCCATTTAAACCCCCGACGTTAGGTCCTCATTTTTCCCCTCCCTCCCAATCCAAGTGCTTTCTGAGGTGGGGAAGTGGAGAGAAACAAACCCTTCTTTGGGGGGGAAGGAGTAGAAAGAGAGGGTGGAATAGCGGTGACACTCTGAAAACTCTGCCCAGTGACCCCACCTGCAGGGCAACCATTTGGCCTAATTTGTGGTGGTTGCCCCAGCTCATAATAAAAATACATTCATTTATTTGACATGTCAAAATGTATTTAAACTAAACTAGCATTAAAGGTCATTGGTGTAGCCGGCAGCTGGTGAAATGCGCTCATGTCCCAAACTCCTTCCATCAGAAATCATCCTAAGCAGAAAGGAGAATTTGGTGTAGATGTCAACTCTGGACAGCACTGCCTTTCTCTGCTAATTGAATATATGCCTTGAGGGGAGTTGACTTCCAGGCCAACCAGTTTCATGGTTGGTATAAAAAAATTCTAGCTAATTTGAACCTGAATAGCAGAAAAAGTAGGTGAACGTGCAAAAGGAATATCCCAATATGAAACCTTACCGAAATCTAATCCTGCACGCCAGATATAAACCAGTTTATATAGACTTGGATCCCGGCTAATGGTTTGAATGCTGGTTCCAGCTTGCAATTCAGTGAAATATTTACTAAGGCTTTTCTAAGCCATAGCCTTTGTTACATTCACCAAAGGACTTATAGCTTCCTGATGGGTAAGAAGGTGGGGGAAGATTGTGACTGGATTATATGATTCAGTGGTGAGTGATTGTTAGAAGGGTTACTTGTGATGGCCATCCTGCTGGATATAAAATGAGCCAACTCAGTAACAAGCGGGAGAACTTTCACTATCAGTAAGAGAGAAGAACCAGGAGTGTAGTGCGTCCTTTGGATCCTGTGAGCTCTCTGCCAAGTGAACTTTCTTCATCCAGGAGACCACTGTAACACATAAGGAGCAGCAGTAGGGGAACCAGCAGGAGCCAGAGCACGAGACAGAGTAGGGGACTATCTAGCTCACAGAGCAAGTAAAACTGAGTGCTTTGGGGTAGGAGGCTGGCTTGTGGAGTAGGGTGCGTCTGGGCACTTAATTCGGGGAATGGAGTATATGGAGTTGGAGTTAAATGCCTTCAGGTTGAGCCTTACTGGAGTGGCATACCCTTTGGGTATTTATTGGCAGCCCTAAAAGAGCCCAGAAACACTGTCTGATCAGGGCAGAGGCCAGGCCAAG